ACCCCTTAAGCTCTCACGACACATTTCCTTAGTATTCTATGAGAGTTCTTACATTTGGTATATCATCATATGAGTTTGGACTTGGGTGGTTTGCTCCTTGTAGGTGGGAGAACCCCCATGGAATTATATAATTTGTTATAAGTTGAGGATATGGGAGAATCTTGTTTAGATAGAGATAGTTCAAATCTTATGCATTAGATTAAAATGGTTCTAGGTTGTTATTTGGATAACCACTTGTGTGAGAGAATCCTAGGAGTGGAAAAAGCTGGTTGTAGAGGGAGAGAAATAGCCTTTTTTTTGGTATTTGGGCACTATAGTCTCTCAAAAAAAAAGAGTTCAGGGAATAAACTCACATCCATCTCTCTTTGCCTTTTTAGGTTTTGGGCACTAGGTTTGCTTTTTTAGATTTTGGGCACTAGACCAAAACATTCCTTGATACCTAAAATTTCCTTAAACTGTTTAGGTTTTGTGCCCACATAGATGAAACTGTTTAGGTCTAGTGCCCACATAGATGTAATATAGGTTGAGGTGGCTTTTTTTTTTGTTTTTTTTTGTTTTTTTAAGGAGGAGTATTCTGACGCATTATTCAGCATTACTCTAAACGCCATATGCCTTAGAGATCCATGGAAGCTCTTACTTAATACCCTTCTTTACCATCCAAGGATTCACGGGCCTTAATTTCTTCCAACCATTGTTTACAACTGAAATGGTAGTGCTAGCTCTAGTGGTGTCATGTCAATGGCCCGACATGCTACCTACCTACACTATCATATTTCCTTGTTTTTTATTACTTTCGATGTTTGTGGAAACAACTTTTATCGTGCATCAAATATCCAGTCCTTCGTTTACGAGGTCTATCCGCTACTTGTTTTTAGTAAACCCAACATGCTTAATTGCAGTTTCTTGTGTTTCTTTCTTTCTATTTTTCTCTAACCATATCTTGGTTATTCTACTATTCAAGAATAACATTATTTTTCCTAAAGTCATGAAAAATAAATTAGATGACTGCTTCAATTAAGATTTGTATTGACAATGTCCCGTTCATTCAACCTATCCCAACTGTAAAGACAGCCGTTGCAAGTAATTTTTTGTAGGTTTGAAAAAATTTGGCATCAATTTTCATATCTAAAAGTATGGTCCCCTAAAAAACAAAACAAACAAAAGATTATTTCAAGCCGGGGATGTGATGTGTGAATATGAAGAGAAAAACTGATTTCTATTGTTTAGGGCTGACCTCGTGTCAACCGTAGTTAAGAAAGAGAAAGTAGGAGCCAGTTTTTGCTTGATGTTACACGGGTGCTCTGTCTTTATGGCCTTCTACTTTTCTTTTGAGTAGGTGAAAAAACGGGTAGGGCACTAGTTTAACAAAAAGAAAAACAAAAAACCCTGTCTCGCCCACTCTATCTGCCCCCTCGGCCGCATAAGAAATACCAACAAGAAAGAGAATAATGTTTCTCTCATTTAAAAAATGCTGCCCCAATTATTGTTGTGGATGGCCGACTCTAGTTGGCCGACTCATATGTATATATGTAGCCCCATAATAAAATTCATTTTGGATGATTTGTTTTTCTAATTTGTTTTTTGTATGTTCATCATCTTGGTCAAGATGATCATAAATATGAAAAAAAAACTAAAAATTAAAAATTTAAAATAAAAAATTGAACTTTTTAGCAGTTTTTTTATGTACCATCTAAATATTTATATGAATAATAAATTTTTAGATAAAAAAAATTGTTTCATGCAGGCTGGATAGTATTTCTATATATGCATTCTTAAATAGTGTAAAACATCTTTTTCAAAGATGAATGGAAATAAGTGTTCCATTTAAAAACAATAGAAATTAACTGTCCAAAAGGTTTTTTTGTTAAAATTATTATTTTTAATTTTTAAAATTTATTTATTTTTTTCATATTCATGATCTCCATGTATCCATAAAAATTAAGCCTTACATATGCGGGCTTGGCACATAGAAACGGGTTCTTTTAGATAACGTCCATATTTAGGTTTGTACGTCGTTATTATTTAATTTTTGATAAAATGCCCCTATTATTATTATTTTGACAAGATTATGTGCCCGTATCGACTTGCATGTGCTTGGCGGTGTATGATGGAAGTTTGATAAGACTTGCATGGTGAGTGGGCAGGCGCTATCAGACCTACGGAGCCCGCAGCAGCTGCTTGTCAAGTCTTTAAACTGAGAGAGAAAACCACTCTTATTTCACTCCATGAAAGACCTCTTTACCGTACATGGTGGAACACATCGGGTCCACCTTTCAGCTGCACCACGGTGGTTGAAAGCCACCCTGGTTTGAAATAAATGCCAAATGTGGGGGTGGGGTACGCATCTCCTGAATTAATTTCCTTAGTGCACACCTTTAAATAGTGGCAAAAAAACGTGGTTTCAATACTGAAAATCTTAATAACGGCTTTTAAATATATTTGTATATTTATTTATAAATTTTAAAGATACAAAACTAGTGTAGATCGAGCTGAGTTATGAAAATATTGAAAATTGACTTGTTCAAAAATACATTACAAAATATATTATTTTAAAAAATTGAAATCTATATTTTTTTTAATGTCCATACATTTTGATATCAAGATAATCAATTTGAAGATATTTGAGCATCAAATCAACCTCTTCTAATAAAATTTTGAGGTGGACTCTAATTGAATGGTTCATAGCCTCAAACTCTATATAAACTTTTTCTTATAAATAGTTATCCTCGGTTACTTTGTAGTTTTAGCTTTTGAGAGAAGAACAGGGACATTTCATGGGTTGGATGGAGGAATTCTGGAGAGAGAGCAAGAAGAGCTTGTCCTAAAGGGATGCTTAGAGAGAGAAAATAGTAAAAGAGATCGTTGCTGGATTGGAATAAACAGCGACTTTTAGGTCGAAAATGCAGAGAGAAAATAGACAATAACTTTGAGAAGTTATTGGAATACTTACTCTATTTGAACTGCTTTTGAGATTACATAGAATCGAATAGAATAGAATAGAAAAACCTAATTATTGGAAGAGAGAGAGGGTGCAAAGTGGGTAGGCTGTGCTTGTCCTAGGGTTTCGAAATGTGTAACGCGCGTAGAAGGCGGGGAAGAACGAGGTGAGTGATGTGACCCTTTCACGCACTTGTCTATGATTTTGACGTTACTGCTCAGGCTCCGCGCGCCTCCACTCCAGCCTCTCCCGTGCGGGCCCAGTTTAAGTCTCACTCTTCAGCCTTGACTCTTGACTGCAACTGAAGAGAGAGAAATGCAAATGCATCACCCTCTCTCTCTACATCACTGTGCGTTTGCAGAGCAGGATGGCAGGTGAATAAATGAATGATGGACCTCGATTATTTGGTTTCCTCGGATACACTCCTCTTTCTCTCTCTCAATCACTTTCAGTTCGTGCACTGTTGCTTCTGTGAACCTTGTCATCCTTCATTTTCGAAATGCGTTTAAAATTCCTTTTTCTATCTCTATCTGTGGCCTTCTTTTCACGAAGCACTTAGGATCAAAGTCCCAATGCTAACAGTGACCTACCCGAGGTTGGAGAGGTTCAGTCCAGTCAGCCAAAAGGAAGCGCCTATCAAGGTCTCTCAGTCCTTTCATTTCACCCACACTTTCTCTCTCTACCATCACTTGTACGGTGATTTATTTATTTATTCACATCTTTCTATGCGGAGGCCCAGTTCGTCCCGTACCAAGACACTCACCCATCAGTTTTCAGTTTTTCAACAAGACAAATTTGATAACTGGAAGCCATGATTTCAACCAAGTTATTTCTTCTTCGTCCTGTGGGTGATCTCACTGCTCCAGATAATCGAGTGTGAACAACTTGTCCGTTAACATTTTATTCTGCCCCATTATTTCCTCTCTCTATTCTTTGTTAGAGAGTTTTAATTGCCTTATCCTCTCTCTCCCCTCAAATTAAACACATTGAATGATTATTTTCGCACATGTTTGAATTTTCCACCCGAAATATTGTTGTTAACAAGATGTATAAAACATGGGTGGCAATACAATAAACATAAGATTACAAAAAAAAAAAAAAGTATGGCTGGAACAGGAGCCTCATTCTTTGTCTAAGTGTTAAGAAAAGGGGTTGGAAGGCTCTTTACGTCTTTTCCTATTTCACGTGGGGAGCCACAGGTTGCCTTAAGGGGTAAATAAATAGAAACAAGGAAAAATTTTTTTTGCCAGCGTTCCTCTGTCATGTTACAGGGAGCGAGACATTTAAACCTTCGGGTTACCAACAATTAAGGCTTTGATGGGTCATAGATAGACAGGATGGTTCTATATGTGACTTCAACTAGCGTAGAATGCATTCCATTGATTTCATCTTAAGAGTTTTTTACTCACATTAGATATATTTATGCTGTATAAAATCAGATTTGGATGGGAAATTTGATTCAAATCAACAGATAGATAATTTAAAAGTTTTATTTTGATTTTCATAGGTTTGAGATAATCACTTTGGATTATTTGGGGTGAGCAGATCGCAGTTGGAAGAAGAAGAATTAGCGTGGAAATATGGTTGCAAGAAATTATCGTACTTTTTTATCTTTTCTTTTTAGCAATCTTTAGTTTTTTTAGTGGGTTTTGTTTAAGAAAATAAGAGTTATGTTATTGTTAAGGAACCTTATATTTTAGGAAAGACAGAATAAAAATATTCATCTTTTAAGATTAAGGTGGGTAGGGAGTTATCTTTTTAAATATAGAAAGAGTAGGCCTTTTTTCGTAAAGAAAATCCTTGAGGAAAAGAATGGTTTAGACAAAGTTTTAAAAGGTAGTATTAAATGGATGAACATCTATTGTATTGGGTTTTTATTTAGTGAATGGTAAAAAGTGGTTTAATATGTTAGAGAGAGAAACTTCTTCAACTTCTTTTCTTTGTACGTTTATGTTTTCGTCATGCATTGTGGAGGTCTGAGCTCTCCTTGTGCTCTTTTCTTGTTGATTGTTTTCTTAGTCAATTCTTTCTCTTTCTACAACGCGGTTGTTGTTGGCTGTAGGTGATTTTCAGTTGCATCAATTGGTATCTAAGCAAGGTCTCAACTCCCCTTATTGTGCTTTTTGCTTATTCATTTTCTTCTTAATCAATTATTTCTCTTTCTAGAATGTAGACATATTGCTAGTTGTTGACTGCCTATGATTTTCAGCTGCGTCAATTGGTATCAAAGCAACTACCTTTTCCTACCACACACCACCAAAAGAAAAATACACAAATAGCACAAGTTTCTATCTCTATCTGTACGTTAAATGACTTCTTTCATTTGTCAAATACAATAAATTTTCATCCCTTTAATATTATCTTCTAAAAGTCTTTTTAACCTTTCTAGAAAAAGGCGTACTATTCTTTCTTTAAAAATATAACTTCTTAGCACTTTAATCCTATTAGATATGCCTTTCAATTCGTTTTATCTTTCTTAAAGGTTAAGGATCCATAAGAAGAACGAAACTCTTCTTACCTTTAAACAAAATCCACTAAAAAAATAAAGATAGAGAGAAAAAAAAATCAGATAATTTCTAGCGACCACAGTTTCTCACTTCTATCTTGATCTCTTGAGGAAATTGAGGTTAGTAGAACGCAAGCACCTAGGCCTTCTAAGGTTCTAAAACTGACTATGAAGTATGCCGATGTAGCATATATGCAGGAGCCAGTACTTGTGCACATATGGCACCTCTGACAATTATGAGATTGATGAGCTAGCCTTATTAAGGCAAAAGATGTCACTAAATTGCAAACTGTGATATAAGAGGTGATTGATGCTCTCAAGAAAAATGACATGTGTTGAAGATGATGATGCAAAATAATAGGAATATATGGGTAGTTATCTCTACATGTATGGATAGTTATATCTCTCTCCACGTAGATAAGTACAGATAGTGGTATATGGGCAATTTGGGTAGTTATATCTCTCTCCATGTAGATAAGTACATAGATAGTGGTGTATGGGCAGTTTGGTAAAGACGATGAAAAAATGGATGTAATGGGTAGTTATCTAGGCAATGGGTGGTTATCTAGGTAGTGGGCAATTGTGCATTACTCGCCTATATATTTGGGCTCCTTGAATTGAAATGGGTGTATGGTTGTGTGTGGAAAAATGTAGCGAGTTGGATCGTGAGATTTTTCATTGAGCACCCACGTGCGTTTGAGTATTGCGAAAGGCCACTCCAGGTATGAAAATTGTGAGAGGTTTTGTGGATGTTGGAGCAGGATCCACGACCATGGTATAGGAAATCATTGAATTTGTGGTGTCTAGCAAGCACAGTATGGCAGCTACAAATTTGAGCTTGATTGTGAAGGAAAGAACAGGACAGCTAGAAATTGTGCTAATTTATGTGGATGACTTGATAGTCATTGGTGATGATGTCGACGAGATCAAGCAAATTTGCGAGAACCTTTCTATGATGTTCCTGATGAAGGAGCTTGGGGAGCTTAATCATTTTTTCTTGCTTGGAAGTAAACCGATAAATGGTTTATTCCTACGACTATGGAAGTACTCAACGTACGTTTTTACTGAAGATCGGGATGGAGAACTACAAAGCTATCTAAATTCCTGCTGAAGTTAATGGGAAGTTAAGTAGTGACATACAGAAGGAGCTCATAGATGTATGGATGTACAAGCAACTGGTTGGAGGTCTAATCTATTTGAGTCCTTCATGACTATTCCAATGTTGTGGATAGCTTCATTTGGAAGTGCTTATACATATTTTGTGTTACGTAAAAGGTAATGTAGCTACTGTGTGACTTGAAAAAAAGATACAAATTATACAGTTGTACTATATTGCAGTAATGAGAATCCGGTGTTCCATGCAAGGACGAAAGACATCGACTACACAACCACTTCATTCAACAAAAGGTATTGAGCAAATACATTGATCTTTTACCCATTAGCAACATAAGAGCAAGTTACAGACCTGATCACAAAAGGTTTGCGTTTTCCAAGGTTCGCAAAATTCATAGGACTCCTAGCCATCTGTACCAAGGAGTCATCACTGATGCGGAATGTTGAAAGTCACCATTGACTCTTTCACACCCCAAAGGGTCAGGCTGGTCGGAATGACCAAAGCTGCATAGGATGATCTAGGCAATAATAGATTTTGGGTTATTTTTCTTTTGACCAAATTATTAAGATAAGAATGTTTTGGTTTAGTTTCTATTTCCTTGTTGAATTAAAAGCTTTAGATAAATATTAGATGGACTATTGGCGGTTTAGGGAAGATAATATAGAGTTGGTGTATTTCTTAAATATGTTAGATGAGGAAAGATTTCGATGAGTATATTAGGAAGTTGTTGGGAGGAATTTATTAGGTTTCTTGTTTGTGACGATAAAAAATTTCAATATAGCTAAAAGAAGAAGCAGTTACATAGATATAACAAGTTTCTATTTTGTGAAGGATCACCAAAACATTATAATATTAGAAGTATGTGGGTGTGTGTGTATTCTTTTGTGCTCTTTGTTAATTGCATGAATGAAAACAGTTGGTTCTCTCTCTAGAGCAATCTTTTTGTGCCTTTTCATTCGTGGTCATCTTTTTTGGTTTTCTATTGGTCTCCTTTTGTTAGTACATTAAGCGGTGGTCTATCCTCTTCCGTTCTTTGGTGTTTTATACTTGTGTGCAGGAGGTGCTCAATGTAATGCGAGGGTATGCATGATTGTGCATTGGGGTATATATTTAGCGTGAGTGCACTATGTGTCTTTTCTTTTTGTGATCCATCATTATTGCAGGTTCTATACTTAAGATGTGGGATTGAAGTTTTAAAATACCATCTGTGTGCGTCTTTTTTGTGGGCTAGTTGGGTCTGAGTACCGTCACTGGCAAGCGAGTGCCTGCAGTGTTAGTCGAAACAAGTGAAATAGAGGAAACAAATCCGCATGGTAATTCTAAAAAGGGCACAATGATCTTGATAATAATGTGTATATAAAAATACAATGTATGATTTTCAGTTGTCTTTTATTGTCATTGTATATTTGTGTAGAGATAATGTGGTTTACACTAAATTTGTATTTGTATATAAATCTTTTTAGGGTTTCATTACATGTTTATGCGAATTGATCGAGATTATTTCTCTCTAGACTATTCTTGAGCTCTTCATCTTCTCTAAATCTAACATGGTATTAGAGCCACAAAGATTAGATCGTCTCTTCTCTGTTGTTGCTCATAGATCGCCCTTTTTGTAAATGTCAGTAATTAGAAGAATTTTATTTTCTCTGTGGAAGTTTCTCTCTCTAAAAACTGTAAACTCTCCCTTTCAATTTTTTGTTTGCAACCTTTTCCTTTCAAATTTTCGCAACTTTTCATTGCAAATTTCCAAGTTTCATTACAAATTTCTCAACCTTGTTTTTCTCTCTCATGACAACAAATTCCCAACTTCTGAAATGTCGTTGCAAATTTGCAACTCAACCTTCTTTGACTCTACAATCAAATTTCTTTGCATAATCTTAACGCCATCTTTGAATTTCACTGTTGCAAAAACTTAGGCATTTTGTTGTTGCAAATGAGCAATCTTGTTGCAAACTTCATCCCCAAAATTTTGTCTTGAAAATTGCATATTGATCTTTATTAATTTTTTGCACCATTATCAAATTAAGAGAAATTGCAAGCTTCCTAAGCAAATTTTGTTGTTATCCGTCAAAATTTGCCTTGCAAAATTTGTGCTCATCTCTGTGTTATCTTGCAAGATTTGCATTGCAAAATTTTACTTCTTGTATCTCGAATTAATTCCATTGTTTACTCTAAATAATTGCTTTTCCTTTGCCATATTTTTTTTAGAGAGAAACTTTCTTTCTAAAAAACAAAATTGATAAAAAATGCTCTCTTTTAAACTCTGGGCATTTACCTGCAGTCTTTTCTCATATAAACTTTGATAAGAATATTGTTTGTAAGAGTTGCAAGTTGGCAAAACACTTGATCCAACCTTTTCTTCATAACAATAAAAGTATCCATCATTTCTCTTTAGTGCACTCTGATGTTTGGGGCCCTGCTCCTGTTTCATCAATTAATAGATTTTCTTATTATATGATATTTATAGATGAAATTTTTAAATATGCTTGGATTTGTTTTATCAAAAAAAAATCAAGTGTGTTGAGTGTTTTTAAAAACTTCCATAATATGATAAAAAATTAATTTGAGAAACACATTAAAGTTTTTAGGTCTGATTTTGGGGAGAGTTTTTATCCAATGAATTTCAAGCATATCTTTGTACAAATAGCATTATTCATTAACTACATGTTCTTATAACCGGAACAGATTGAAGTTGCTGAAAGAAAACATCGTCATATTCTTGAAACCACTTGTTCTCTTCTCATTAGCTCTCATTCCCGAAAGATCATTTGGGCTGAAGCAATGTCTACTGCTGTCTATCTTGTTAATCTTCTTCCTACACCGATTTTGCAAAATGTGTCACCATTTCAAAAGCTTTTTCAAAAACCCACCCTGATTAATCACATTTACGTGTACTTGGGTACACATGCTTGTAGTTTCACCATCTTTTACTCGAGATAAACTCTCATCTAAGTCTGTCAAATGCATGTTTGTAGGTTATCCAACAAATTAAAAAAGATATCATTGTTTTGTTCCTTCTATTAATCGTATTATAACATCCCAACATGTTACATTTTTCGAGAACTTACCCTTCCACCAACACTGTCCACACCCAAATTCAACCACACATGGACTTGAGTTTTCCTGTTTTTCATTGTTTCGATATTCTTCCTTTTCATTATTATGAAAATTAGGGATTATCACATTCAGTAACTATCTCTGATGAGCCGTCTTTGTCAAGCGCTGATCACGCATCACCTCAAGTTGTTGATCCTTCTATCGGTCTTGTTCACCTTCGATGGCCACTTCGAAAGCCCATTCCATTTTATCGTTTTAACTTATTAGTGGTTATGCCATACCGTACTTGTTCTCTTACAACCATTACTAATTTATTGTTTCATGAGCTATCTTCTTTTCTTAGTCATCTAATTGTCAATGTTGGCGTATAGCTATGAATGAGGAAATTGCAGCTTTAGAGACAAATCATACTTGGGATTTG